ACCCCACAGACAGCCTGGGCCAGAAGCAGCATAGCCCCCTGAACAGCCTGGACCTCCACACCGGGAAAAAAAAAAAGCGAAACTGAGTAAATAAGCAATAAGAACACGTTTAAGACAACGCTGGAAAGAGGGTGGGGCGCCCTGAAGTGCTGAAGATTGGGGGAAGGGAATCCTTCCTGGGACTGTAGAATACAAAAAAACCGGGTGGGCCAGAGAGCCTCTGGCGGAGCGGGGACGCGCACCCGGCAACCAGCGAGCGGGAAAACCTTGTGAGAAGTGGCTGAGGGAGGGCAAAACTCCAACAGGAGAGGAGGGAAGACCCAACTTCCCAATGTGAACTGTAAATAAAACATGGCGGGCCGGCAGAGGAAGCAGCCGCACCACCCAGTAACAGGAGCAGGAAGCTTGTGAAAGTGGCCAAGTGGAGGAAAACTGCAAGAGGAGAGGGGGGAAGACCACCTCCCACATGAACTGTAAATAAACACCGCAGGCCTGACACTGCGCGACGGGACGTGTCCACTTTCCAGTGCTTGGAAAGGGGAAAGCCTTGTAGCAGAGGCTCCGCAGGAGAACTCTGACACAACAAAGCCTGTGCGGCACAGGTGAGTGCTAAGCTCACCCCAGAGATCTGCATAAATAACGGTCCATACAGCTGAGAGCCAGAGGCAGCGGCAGCACAGTTCGCTACCACTCTCAGAACTGTCCTCCAGATGCTTTTTTTTTCTTTTTCTCCCTACCTTTGATGAGAGAACAACCGAATTACACCTGCAAGCCCAAAAAACTTACTGAAACTGTTTGCATTTGAACTGGGAACACTTGGTGGGGCTTTTTTTTTTTTTCTGTGTGTGGTGTGTGTGTGTGTGAGTGTGTAGTTCTTTGTTCTACTTTATGCATCCCCTTTGATGAGACAACTACAAAACATCTGAGGCACCAACTCCAGGACTGGAGATTGAGACGGACATCCAAATTATTAAGACTGAAACTGCATTGCATATAAACTTGGAATTTTTTTGGTTTTTTTTTTAATTTTCTATTTCCATTTTATTTTAATTCATTTTTTAATATAATAGATTCACTTTCTTCATTTATTTATTTTTATTTTTTTTATCTTTGATTTTCAATCCTCTCTCTGTCCTCTAAGTCTGTTCAGCTTACTGTCGATTAGTACACTAACACTCCCTGTTTATACCTTTGAAACTTCTTGTCTGATACCTTGTTTGCTTTTCTCTTGTCTGTATATTTGTTTTCCCTTTCTCTTTAACTTCTTGCTTTCCATCTCAGCTCACTCTTCCATTCTAATATTACCATTGTTATTATTACAAGCTAGAAAATACTTAACACACAGTACAGGGACAGTAAAACCAACCAACAATGACGGGAAGACAGAAAAACAGGGAAACCAGTTTCCCACAGCAAAAAATTAGTACAGGAACCAGAGGGAATGAAGAGAACAGAAACTCAGACCAGACTCCAACAAAAAAATGAAGATAAACTATGCCAAAGGACCCAATGAAGCCACAAGAATAATTTAAAGAAGACATACTACAAGTACTCAATGAGAATTTTATAGAGATGAATACTGGATAGGGTCAACCAAAATGTACAGGAGACACTCAAGAAATTCCAAAGACAATAAAATAGAGAATTTGAAAAAGCAAAAGAAGAAATAAAGGAAACATAGAAGCACTGTATAAACACCAAAGTAAAAGGAACACAAATAAATGAATAATGGATAAAATGAACTCAGGACAAAAATAGACAACATAAAGAAGAAAACAGCCAGGATATGGAAAACCTCAGAAAAAAGAACGAAACAGAACTGCAACAAACAAAACGGAAGGCCAATCCAGCAGAATAGAACAAACAGAAGACAGAATCTCAGAACTTGAAGATGAAATGGTAATTAAAGGAAAACAAGAACTATTAATTAAACAACTCAAGACCTGTGAAAGAAAATGCAAGAACTCACTGACTCCATCAAAAGACCAAACTTGAGAATCATGGGCATCGAAGAAGGAGAAGAGGTGCAAGCGAAGGGAATGCGTAATATATTCAACAAAAAATAATAACGGAAAATTTCCCAAATCTAGAGAAAGATATTCCCATACAAATGCAAGAGGCCTCCAGGACACCAACAGACCAGATCAAAATAGAACTACTCCACGACATATCATCATTAAAACAACAAGTTCAGAAACTAAGGAAAGAATATTGAAGGCTGCAAGAGAGAAAAAACAAGTAACATACAAAGGTAAACCCATCAAAATCACAGCAGACTTCTCAACAGAAACATTAAAAGCAAGAAGAGCGTGGGGTGAGATCTTCCGGGCATTGAATGAAAATAACTTCAACCCCAGGATACTCTACCCAGCAAAGCTATCATTCAAAATAGATGGAGCAATAAAAGTCTTCCATGATAAGCAGAAACTAAAACAATATGTGACCACAAAGCCACCATTACAAAGATTCTGCAAGGGATCCTGCACACAGAAAGTGACACCCAACTTAACCATGAAAAGAGGCAGCACCAAACCACAGGAAAGAAAAAGCAAGACAGTAGAGAGTAACATCAAGTTAGGTACACACAATCAAACCTTCAAACAACTAAGAACTAAATGGCAGGAATCACCACATACCTATCAGTACTAACACTTAATGTTAATGGACTTAATTCACCCATCAAAAGACACCGTTTGACAAAATGGATTAAAAAGAAGATCCAACAATTTGTTGCTTACAGGAGACTCATCTCACCGACAGAAATAAGCATATGCTTAGGATGAAAGGCTGGAAGAAGATTTACCAAGCCAATGGCCCCAAAACAGCAGGAGTAGCAATACTTATCTCTGACAAAGTAGACTTCAAACCTACATTGATCAAACGAGATAAAGAAGGACATTCCATACTAATAAAAGGGGAAATAGACCAAAAGGAAATAATAATCATCAACCATATATGCAATAGATAGGTCATCCCAACACAAGAAACTCAATAAAGAAAATCCAGAAGATCTAAAATATGCAATAGATCAATGGACCTAGTAATGTCTACAGAACATTTCATCCAACCTCTACACAATATACATTCTTCTCAGCAGCCCATGGAACCTTCTCCAAAATAGATCATATCCTAGGGCACAAAGCAAGCCTCAGCAAATATAAGAAAATAGAAATATACCGTGCATACTATCTGACACAATGCAGTAAAAGTAGAACTCAACAACAAAAGTAAAGACAAAAACATGCAAACAGCTGGAAACTAAATAACTCATTACTTAATGAAGAATGGATCATCGATGCAATAAAAGAGGAAATTAAAAAGTTCCTGGAAGTCAATGAAAATGAAAACACAACCTACCAGAACCTATGGGACACAGCTAAGGCAGTCTGAGAGGAAAGTTTATAGCCATGAGTGCATATATTAAAAAGATTGAAAGATCCCAAATCAATGACCTAATGATACATCTCAAACTCCTAGAAAAAAGAACAACAAGCAAATCCCAAACAAATAGAAGGAGAGAAATAATAAAATAAGAGCTGAAATCAATGAAATAGAAACCAAAAAAACCATACAAAGAATTAATGAAACAAAAAGTTGGTTCTTTGAAAAATAAACAAGATCGATAGACCCCTGGCAAACCTGACTAAAATGAGGAGAGAAAAACCCAAATTAGTAGAATCAGGAATGCAAAAGGGGAGATAACAACAAACACCATGGAAGTCCAGGAAATCATCAGAGACTACTTTGAGAACCTATATTCAAATAAATTTGAAAATCTAAAAGAAATGGACAGATTTCTAGATACATATGATCATCCAAAACTGAACCAAGAGGAAATTAATCACCTGAATAGACTATACACAAAATGAAATTGAAGCAGCAATCAAGAGTCTCCCCAAAAAGAAAAGTCCAGGACCTGATGGATTCTCTGCTGAATTCTATCAGACCTTTAAAGAAGAACTGATACCAACCCTCCTTAAACTGTTCCATGAAATAGAAAGGGAAGGAAAACTGCCAAACACATTTTATGAAGCCAGTATTACACTTATCCCAAAACCAGGCAAAGACACCTCCAAAAAGGAGAACTATAGGCCAATCTCCTTAATGAACATTGATGCAAAAATCCTCAACAAAATAATGGCAAACCGAATTCAGCAACACATCAAAAAGATTATTCACCACGACCAAGTAGGCTTCATCCCAGGGATGCAGGGGTGGTTCAACATACGAAAATCAATAAATGTAATAAACCACATTAACAGAAGCAAAGACAAAAACCACTTGATCATCTCAATAGATGCAGAAAAAGCCTTTGATAAGATCCAACATCATTTCATGATAAAAGCTCTAAGAAAACTAGGAATAGAAGGAAAGTTCCTCAACATTATAAAAGCTATATATGACAAACCTACAGCCAGCATTATACTTAACGGAGAAAAATGAAACCATTCCCTCTAAAATCAGGAACCAGACAAGGATGCCCACTATCTCCACTCCTATTCAACATAGTACTGGAATTCCTAGCCAGAGCAATTAGGCAAGAAGAAGGAATAAAAGGAATACAAATAGGTAAAGAAACTGTCAAAATATCCCTATTTGCAGACGACATGATCCTATACCTTAAAGACCCAAAAAACTCTACTCAGAAGCTTCTAGACATCATCAATAGCTATAGCAAGGTAGCAGGATATAAAATCAACATAGAAAAATCATTAGCATTTCTATACACTAACAATGAGCAAACGAAAAAGAATGTATGAAAACAATTCCATTTACAATAGCCTCAAAAAAAATCAAATACCTAGGTGTAAACCTAACAAAAGATGTGAAAGACCTCTACAAGGAAAACTATAAACTTCTGAAGAAAGAGATTGAGGAAGACTATAGAAAGTGGAGAGATCTCCCATGCTCATGGATTGGTAGAATCAACATAGTAAAAATGTCGATACTCCCAAAAGTAATCTACATGTTTAATGCAATTCCCATCAAAATTCCAATGACATTCATTAAAGAGATTGAAAAATCTACTGTTAAATTTATATGGAAACACAAGAGGCCACGAATAGCCAAGGCAATACTCAGTCAAAAGAACAATGCAGGAGGTATCACAATACCTGACTTCAAACTATATTACAAAGCAATAACAATAAAAACAGCATGGTACTGGCACAAAAACAGACATGAAGACCAGTGGAACAGAATAGAGGATCCAGATATGAAGCCACACAACTATAAGCAACTTATCTTTGACAAAGGAGCTAAAAATATACGATGGAGAAATAGCAGCCTCTTCAACAAAAACTGCTGGGAAAACTGGTTAGCAGTCTGCAAAAAACTGAAACTAGATCCATGTATATCACCCTATACCAAGATTAACTCAAAATGGATCAAGGATCTTAATATCAGACCCAAACTCTTAAGTTGATACAGAAAGAGTAGGAAATACTCTGGAGTTAGTAGGTATAGGTAAGAACTTTCTCAATGAAACCCCAGCAGCACAGCAACTAAGAGATAGCATAGATAAATGGGACCTCATAAAACTAAAAAGCTTCTGTTCATCAAAAGAAATGGTCTCTAAACTGAAGAGAACACCCACAGAGTGGGAGAAAATATTTGCCAACTATACATCAGACAAAGGACTGATAACCAGAATATACAGGGAACTTAAAAAACTAAATTCTCCCAAAACTAATGAACCAATAAAGAAATGGGCAAGTGAACTAAACAGAACTTTCTCAAAAGAAGAAATTCAAATGGCCAGAAAACACATGAAAAAATGCTCACCATCTCTAGCAATAAAGGAAATGCAAATTAAAACCACACTAAGATTCCACCTCACCCCTGTTAGAATAGCCATCATCAGCACACCACCAACAACAGTGTTGGTCGAGGATGCGGGGAAAAAGGAACCCTCTTACACTGTTGGTGGGAATGTAGACTAGTACAACCACTCTGGAAAAAAATTTGGAGGCTACTTAAAAAGCTGACATCGATCTACCATTTGATCCAGCAATACCACTCTTGGGGATATACCCAAAAGACTGTTACTCCAGAGGCACCTGCACACCATGTTTATTGCGGCACTATTCACAATAGCCAAGTTATGGAAACAGCCAAGATGCCCCACCACTGACGAATGGATTAAGAAAATGTGGTATCTATACACAATGGAATTTTATGCAGCCATGAAGAAGAACGAAATGTTATCATTCGCTGGTAAATGGATGGAATTGGAGAACATCATTCTGAGTGAGGTTAGCCTGGCCAAAAGACCAAAAATCGTATGTTCTCCCTCATATGTGGACATTAGATCAAGGGCAAACACAACAAGGGGATTGGACTATGAGCACATGATAAAAGCGAGAGCACACAAGGGAGGGGTGAGGATAGGTAAGACACCTAAAAAACTAGCTAGCATTTGTTGCCCTTAATGCAGAGAAACTAAAGCAGATACCTTAAAGCAACTGAGGCCAATAGGAAAAGGGGACCAGGAACTAGAGAAAAGGTTAGATCAAAAAGAATTAACCTAGAAGGTAACACCACGCACAGGAAATCAATGTGAGTCAATGCCCTGTATAGCTATCCTTATCTCAACCAGCAAAACCCTTGTTCCTTCCTAGTATTGCTTATACTCTCTCTACAACAAAATTAGAAATAAGGGCAAAATAGTTTCTGCTGGGTATTGTGGGGGGGGGGAGAGAGAGGGGGAGGAGTGGGTGGTAAGGGAGGGGGTGGGGGCAGGGGGGAGAAATGAACCAAGCCTTGTATGCACATACGAATAATAAAAGAAAAAATGAAAAAAAAAGATATCAAGATCTAGATCTAGACAAGGGCATTCTGAACAGGATTCTAATAGTTCAAGAAATACTGACAAATGGGATTGCATCAAATTAAAAAGCTTCTGCACATCAAAGGGAACAATTACCAAGTGAAGAGATAGCCTAGAAAATGGGAGAAAAATCTTTGCAAGCTATTTATTGAACCTGAAATTAATACCCAGAAAATATAACAAGCTCAAAAAAATGAACTACCAAGCCAGCAATCTTAGTTACTTGGGAGGAAAACATCAAGAAGATCATGACTTGAGGTCAGCTCAGGCAAATAATTCGCAATACCCCATCTCAACCATTTTAATAAAACGTTGGTCATGGTGGTGTGCCCTTGCCATCCATGCTCTGTGGGAAGTGTAAATAGGAGGATCTATTTACACTGTGCAGGCAGGACAGGCATAGACTCAAGACCCAACTGGAAAAATAATAAAAGCAAAAAGGGTAGGGGCATGGCTCAAGTGGTAGAGCACCTAAAGGTAAAGCACAAGGCCCCAAGTTCAAACCCCAATACTGTCCCCCAAAATCTAAACACCAAAAGAATAATCCAATAAGTAAATGGGTGGTGCCGTGGGAGGGGAGAGAAGGTGGGGAAATGCTGAAAGTGAGTGAATATGGTAGAAATACTGTGTACCCATGTATGTAAATGGAAAAGTGACACCTGTTGTAACAATTCCATGAATGGGGGGAGGGGGCATGAAGGAGAATAGCAGAAGGGGTGCATTCAAAGATGATTGTTTTTCTTTTCTTATTTTATCATTTTTATATTTACTCACATGTATATACATTGTTTGTGCCTTCTCCCCTCCCTCCAACCCTCCTCCTACTACCCACCCTCCACTTCACTTCCAGGAAGGATGAGGTATTTGATATACTGTAAGAAATTTGTAAATGTCACAATGTACCCCCACCCAGCACAATAATAAAAAAACCCAAAATTTTCCAACTATGATGAAAACTGTAAAAATAAATAAATAAATAAATAAAATGGCCAAATGAATTGAACAGACAGTTCTCAAAAGAAGAAATTCAAATGTTTAATGAATACATGAAAATGTTTTCAACATCTTTAGCCATAAAGGAAAGCAAATGGAAATGAAATTGAGAGTCCGTCTCACCTGTTAGAATGGCTATCATCAAACCAACAAACAAAATGAATGCTCATGAGGAAGTAAGGGAAAATAGAACCCTTATTTGCTATTGGTAGGAATACAAATTAGTGCAGCCACTATGGAAATCAGTATAGAGGTTCCTCAAAAAACTAAAGTTAATACTAGTATATGATCCAGCTGTACCACTCCTGGGTATATAGTTGAAAGAATCTAAGACAACATGTAATAAACATACTATATATCTATGTTTATCACAGCACTATTCACAATAGCCAAGTTTCAGAATCATCCTAGGTGCCCATCAACAGATGAATGAATAAAGAAAATTGGTATACATATATACAATTGAGTTATTCAGACATAAAGAAGAATGAAATTGTGTCATTTGAAGGAAAATGGGTAGAACTGATATCATGATGTTAAACTAAATAAGCCAGAATTATGAAGACAAACATCATGTATTTTCTCTTGTATATGGATTGTAGATTTAAAAAGTTATGAAAGTAGAAAAGAAACTATTTGATAACAGGGGGACTAGCAAGAGAGGAGGGGAAAATGGGATCATGGGGGTTGAATATGATACAGCTATGAAAATGTCCTAATGAAACCCATTATTTTATAAAATTTATACATAGTAATAGAAATTTTTTAAGTGGATGCTACACAGGATGTGATAATCACTATGTCTGTATACTATAAAGGCATCTTTTTCCTGTTGTGATTAAAAAGTAATTTATAGGGTGATATTTTAAGACTGAAAATCCTGTATTCCAACAACTTTTCTCCCAACAGTTTTAGCAACCCATGCCTAAATCAGAGGATTTTCAAGTCCTATCATTCTTAATGCTTTCCAGTTTTTTAATACTGAGTGCAATATTTAGCTTTAAAAAACAAAATCATCTCTAGAGAAGTGGATGCTTGTCAATATGCTGAGATCGTGGAGCATAAATCTGATATAACTCCCAAACATGTCTGGACAGTCTATAAGAGGAGGAACAATCTTCTTAAGTTCTAGAATACACACAAAAGAGCTCTGGGTTTCAACATTTTGAACTTCAAATATAAACTCTCAAACCTACAGTTGTTGTGAGTGTATCCTTACTGTGCTGTAATGAAATACACATCTGATGATCCAGTCATTATGATGGGTATTTCTGCCCCTGGAGAAGGCAACCAGAAAATACAATAAAGTATGAGTATCCATGCTACCTCAGTTATAAACTATACATTCCCCATTCCTACTCAGGAGGTATTGTTTCAGGAGGTAAATATTTTAATTTAGTTTTAGTCTCTTCTTCACTGACATATAACATTCTCTGATCATATTTTAAATGAACGGAAATCCACTGAAAACGAGGATGACATAGCATGCAGTCCTGCAACCTCTAAGAGGATAAATGCCTGAAAGGATGAGGGATCCCATGTTCTCCTCAACTAGTACCATCATTTTATTGATGCTCACCATCAAAAGAACCAAATAGTCAGTGCTTCTCATGTTTTCCTCTGTTGCACTTCTTGGGGAAAAATAAGATTATCTAGATAGCTATTGGCCTCAATGTCCAAGCATGCTCTCTTTCCTTCAGAGGTGGCGGTCCTGGCACTCTGCAGCATGGGATTAGTAGGAAACATGCATGAAAAACTTTGAGCCATTCTCCCACACCTGCATACCTGCTTAGACAAGAATTTCTATCAGAAGCCCTACAGCAATTATGCATGTGATTCCAAACCTACCTGACTCAGGTCCCAACCTTGCTCTCTGATCCCTGACAGAATCATTTTATTTCTCTGTGAATTTTGCTTGGAAGGGGCAGTAAATATCAACAATCAAGGCAGGAAATAAGTAATTCCAGTATTTGGGAGGCTATGGTAGAAGGATTGTAAGTTTGAGGCCAGTCTGGACTCCATAGCGAGTGTCTCAAAAAAATAAAAATTATTAGAAAGAAAAAGATAGGAAATGGGGTCAGGAAACTAGAATTAGCTCTCCATTGTAAAAAGATGACAAAAATAAAAATTGCTTACTGCACCTTCCTGATTTTTAAAATTATCTCATGTTCTAAACTTTTAGGTACCTGAAACTATTGATGATGATTTGCTTCCTACAATGAAATTCCGTGTTTTTTTCAAAGATATTTTAACACTCAACATGTGGAACACTAACCAGGTAATTACCCTTTTCAAAGGATAATTATTTTTTCAGATCTGATTAAATAATAAAAATGTTTACATGGAGACCCTGTCAAGAGTGAAATGGCCTTCCTCTTCTGGATAGATTGATACTGCTGTCACAAAGTATTGGCTTAGGAAATTGAGGAAACTAAGAAATTGTCAGACAAATGGAAAAGCCCTGACCAGCTATATCCTTGATTCCTAGCCATCCAACATGCTCACAGTGGGCCTTTACTAAAAGATATGATTGGCCAGGCATCAGTGGGTTCCAACTGTAATCCTAATGTCCATGTCATTAAACTCCTTCCAATAAAAAGCATTTCGGATATTTGATCCCTTCTCATTCAGCAGTTTCCTTCCTTCCTTAATTTCTATATTACTGCATTATCTTTGTTCTCCCTTGTCTATTCTATCTTCCTTTTCATGACTCATAGTTTTCACATTTTTGGAAGTTCCATGATTATTCATTTTTATTAGAAAATATGTGGAATAATTATATATATTTAAAACAAATTATTAAAATTATATATATAAACATACATAAATAGCTCTACTGGGGTCTAATGTACATAAATAAAAGTTCTGTTTTTACTATAAAGTTACTGACTTTGGGCAAATGTATAGCTACTACTACAATGACCACAGAGAACATTTTCATCAACCTCCCCCAACAAAAATCTTTCATGCCCCTTTGCATCCAATCCCCTCCTGGCACCCCAGACCCCAGACAACTGCTGATTTTCTGTCACTATAGCTCTGCTTAACTATAAAATATAAATGGAATCATGCAATATATAGTTTTTTAAACAAATCAAATCATACAAAATATATTTATGTCTGATTTCTCTTACTTATTATGCTACTTTGAAATCCATTTATACCATTGCATGCATCAATAGTTTGCTCATTTTTATTGATAAGTATTATTCCTTTGTATGGATATACTAATTCATTTATCCATTCACCAATTGTTGAACATTGGAGCTGTTGTAAATTTGGACTACATAGAATTATTCTGCTATGAACAGTCTTCCACAAGTGTCTAAGTGGCCATATGTTTTAATTCCTCTTGTGTAAACATGAAGGAGTGAGATTGCTGAGTTGTTGTTAAATGTATATTTAACTATATAAAAATTACAAACTGTTTTCCAAAGTGCCTACACCATTTTTCATTCCCATCACCAATGAGTGGATGTTCCATTTGCTAATGCTACTGTTGTCTGTCTCTTTACCTTTAGCCATCCTAGGGGATGTGAGTGGTACTTCACTGGGGTGTTAAAATTTGCATTTCTCTGATGGTAGATGATGCTGAGCATCTTCTCCTGTGCATAGGAGCCAGTCATATATGTTCTTTATGAAGTATCTATTCAAATATTCTAGCTGCCTTTAATTGGATTGTTAGTAGCATTATTCAATTGGAAGAGTTCTTTATATATTCTACATAAGTCCCAACAGACATGAGATGATTGAAATAAGAAAAAATAAAACCAAAAGTATAAGAGCAAAACCTAGACCTATTTTCAGATAATATAGCTCAGCATTTATACTGAACAAAATTAAATAAGTTAAATGAAAATCAATCTCAAGAAGGCCTCCCAGAATACAGAGGGAAAGGACAAGATAAAAACAATAAGAAAGAAGATGATGGATATGGGTGAGGCAAGACAGAGAGGAGATAAATGTACAACTGGTAAATATCAACAAAGAACTCAGCAGCAACCAAACAAAAATGGAAATAAAGATATAACTGTGTTGGTATTGTGGTTCAGTGGTAAAGTTCTTACATAGTATGTTCAAAGCCCTGTATTCAGTCCTTAACAGCACACACACACACATACACACACAAGACAAAACAGAGACATCTATTTCCAGGAATATGATGGTCTAGATGACCTTTATAAAAATTTCAGTACAAAACATCCAGATATGATATATACAACCTAACAACTATTCTTTTAAATTCATAACTGACCTCTCAGGAGAGTAAGAGAAACCCTCAACTTCCCCCCTCGCCCGCCACACACATGCGAAAAAATGAAGCAAAAGTACAGCTCCCTTGAGCTGCTGCCACTTTGGTGTTGCCAAAAAGTTGGGGTTTTGCCAATGTAAAGGGCAGGAGATAAGGTTTCAGGCCTATATCTTGTGCAATGGGGAGGAGTTAGAATTGAGATTTAATGGAAATTCTAGAGATATCAAAGACTCTTATCTTCAGAAAACACACAGAATAAGCAGAAGAAAAGTGAAAAAAAAGAGACATAAAGCTTAGCCTGATGGCACATGCCTGTAAATCCAGTTACTCAGAAAACTGAACAGAGGATCAAGAATTCAAGGCTAGCCTAGACAAAAGGTAGCATCCAGACCCATCCCTGTCTCAAATGCAAAACTAAAAAAAGACAAGGGGTATAGCTCCAATAGCAGAGCACTTGCCTGCCATGTGCAAGGTAGGGTTTAATCACCAGCAAAACACACACACACACACACACACACACACACCCCACAACAGAGAGACAGATTAAACTAAAAAAGGAGATTTCCTGTGGAGTACAGTTAAATCTTAGGGAACATATTAAAGAGAAATTAAATGAAAACTAGAGCTGAAATGTTTATAAATATAAAAGGTAAAGAGAAATGCACTAAGGCCTAACATTTATTAGTGTGGGGGCTACACTTAGATCTATGTTTAGGTATTACTAGATCAGAAGTAGTTATTAAATGATGGATTCACAAAATTGCTGTAAGAGAGTCTATAAGAAAAGCAATGGATTTTCTTGCCTCTCATTCTGCACCCCTCTAATTCATTCATTCTCCTCCTCCTCCTCCCCCTCCTCCTTCTCCTCCTCTTCTTCTTCTCCTTCTCCTCCTTCTTCTTCTCCTTCTCTCCCTCCCTCCCTCCCATGCTCTAACACTGAGCTATACCCCCAGTCCTTATTTCACTCATTTAAGAATCGAATCTGATTGTGGTAGTCCCTTACTCAAAACTACACACACACACACACACACACACACACACACACACATTCACACACAAACACACTTACTTGCACATGCTCAGAGCCTAAACTCTGCAAGACACATCTTTCCATATCTGGTTTCTATGTATTTCCAAGAATGATTTCTTAACAAACCTACCTGTGCATACTGAGTTCCAACTGTACCAAAGTATTTGAGACCTTGAGTAGTATAAACACTACCACGTCTTCATTCTGCCTTGCATGCCCTCTTGTCCTAGACAACATGGGTCTTAGTATCAACTTAAGTATCACCTCTTCTATGAAGCCTTTCTGATATAATACAGGTGGAATAAACAGGGCATTCATAGAACTTATAACATTTTACTTTTCTAATATTTCTTGCCTTTTATTAAACTCAAAGCCAGAGGTTCTCAAAAGAGTTTATATGGCTCCCAGGAGGACTTTTGAAAATATAAGAGACATTTTTAGATATCACAGGATTGAAGGGGTGCAACAGATAGTAGGTAGAGTCAGAGGTGTTAGACTCCTTGTGATATGCAGACAATCTTACACAAAGAATAACTGCATGCAACATGTCTAAATTTTTAATGTTCCACTGGACTTTCAGGTAGGTGAAACCTTGTCTATAATTATCAGAGTTAAGATTCAAACTCTGTTTTATAGAAAACCAAAAGTATGCTTGCATGATATTAATATATATTGAATTTCACATAAATATAACCATTAATTGAGGGAAGCGTGTACTTGGGTTTTGTTCAGAACAGTACCATGTATGTTTCCCATTTCAGAATGTTGCATCACACTGCAGGTGACATCTGAATCACCAATACAACACACCTGTATCTGTCTTTCTTTTTGATGTAGACTCATGGTGATTCTAAGTAAACACACAAATTTCCTCATTTAGCTCTTATTTCAAAATGTCAGATACAAGTTTAAAATGTGAAATTATAGATTTTTACACAAATGAACAATCGTCAATGTACCACTCTGCCAACACATTTTTTTCTTATGAAACCAACAAACCCATCAAGACTAAGTGAACATTCTACAAAGGAATATGTTGGTCAAGTTGGGAAAAATATATTTCTTACATTTAAAGAAAACCAAAAATGCAATACTGTCATGGAAATGTTCAAAAAGACTTCATTGATTTTTGCAGAACTGTATAAATGATATGCAATATGGAAGTCATACAATATTCAAAACTGAGTCTTATTAGCTGTATAAGGGATTACAACAAAAATGATAAAAAGAAATCCAAATTTAATAATTCATCCATTCTACTGCTATACTGATATAATAAGATGATAAAAGATATTAAAATCAATTACATAATATAGCTAATATTTTATTATAGGTCAAAGTACACTGTATGATCATAAAGCCTTAATATATGAGATGTGAAGTTTATCAGAACAGAAAAAGCTTTATTGACAATAACATTTAACTGACAAAACATACAAGAGTTGCCAATAGTTAGAACTTTTAAAGTTAATTAAAGGGAAAAAAATCTCTTTTACAACATCATTGCCTATTTAACAGATGGAACACCAGAAATGACAACTTAGAGCCATATTCTAACATTGGGTTTCAGAAAAAAGAGTTAGCAGGTGTTTTAACAAGTCATTTCATTATTCATTAGCAACTTAATTGCCAAGAGTCTTGTAGAAAAAGACATCATCGATGACTGTTTCAAAGTAATACCTTGAAAGACAGATTACTCATAATCTATCAAATGTCAGAGTTTGAATAGTTTGTGCAAACCATGATTCACCAAGGGAGTTTTCTAAAAAGATTGGTCTTACATCATGAATCTTTATGAAAAAGAATCCAATTTGAAATATTTCAAAATTATGAGGCATTGCTTTCAAACGTATTTGAAAAGGCCCTTCTCTTTATTCAATTTCTAACTATCTTAATTTATATTTTATTGTATTAATATATGCATATTTCCAAATGTACAAACAATTTGAAAGACTAGGGCAATGAACACCCATCTACCTGGATCTAACAGTTATAA